CCGTAGTCCCTAATAAATAAATAGAAAGAATACAAATGGAGGAGACAGCAGATAAATAGATAAAATACAAATAGAAAGGACAAGAAACACAAGACAAATCATTATACAAACAGAAGGATAGCAGACTCAGACGGGATAAAATAAAACAATAGAAAATAATGTTCGAGTGGACTCAAGTCCAGTTAGTGGTTGCACTTTTGATTTGATTATAGCCGTTGTTTTAGATGTCCTTTAAAAGAAGACACCAATGGATCCAATGAAAAGCTTTGGAGATGCTGAGGTGACTGTCTCTTGTGCAGATGTCTGTTCTGGTTTCTCCAAGGGCAAATTCACAGCACCTGCTGCAGTACCATGGCAGCAGATTGCCTACCTGAACTGCAGACACTGCTGCATATTTTCTCCATCACCTGACAAGCCCCACCCTGTGACTGAGTTTGTGAAACATGCACATGGATAAAGCACCAGGTTGTGCTCTCTCTCTCTCATATAAGCCAGTGGATTTCCACAGACCCCCGTGTTACAAGGCCCAACTTTACAGCAGGAATAAATATATTTACAGCCTTGTAGAAAAACTAATTTTTCTCCTCTCCATGACAGCTATAGGGAGTGAACTTACAACTTACCTGTTTACATTTAATTAAAGCTTAAAGTTAATGGCTGGTTTGAGTGACAGGCTGTCTGCCATTAGTGTCCTCTGCTTCCCAGTCAGATCCACCCCAGCTCCTCCACAGGGCCAGCCCCTCACCCAAATATGGTCACTTCTGACTTTTATAAAAAACAAGTTGGACACGGCCTAAATGTCTAATTCAAGGCTTAAAAATCTACAAACTTGTCCACAAACCAATGGGTGGAGTCACAGTAGCTATGTTCATTATGTATACAGTCTATGGTATGGACTAGTTGGAATGAAACGAAGGAAACTAATGACAAATTTTATTGTGTTTGTTATTTATTGTGGTTTTACCTGAACAGCAGTACTGTAGCACAATCTTTCAGTATAGAGCAGGTCCAAACACTGAAACAGAAATCACTGTTGGAACTAAAGA